ACTGGAGGGGTTCAGTCTTGCCAGCTCTTGGAGACTTGCTTAATAGTTGAAATGTTGGAATTTTTCTTTTATTTTCCAATGATGCCACAAATATCAGAAAGGTCACCCTTTAAAGTAAAATAGGCAGGAGGCTTCAGTGTAGTATGTGTCCAGCTTACAGCCTTAGAAGGTGGCCTCTAACCTCCAAGGGTAGCTCCCACAGGGTAGTTTACACTGCAGCCCTAAAGAAACAATCCGACTTCCACTTCCCTGCTCAGGCAGCCTGTGCAAGGATTTATAGGACAGATGGTGGCAAAGCAGCGACAGGGTCATGAGGCCCCCAGCCCCCCTTTTCCTTTTGCTCTGTGGACTGCTCCCCACAGTTAGTATCTCTGAATTACCCTTTTGGCCTCTTTAGTTCTTTAACACCTGCTTAACTAATTCTTTGTATGAATTTCTCTGTCAAAATAGTGAGGTTTCTGTTTTCCCAATGGCAGGGCAACTAGACTAATAGCTACAAAATAAATGATCAGGCATGTTTGCTGAGTAGGAGAATGGATATGAAAACATCACACGAGAAAAATCACAACTGGGTTTATTGTAGTGGGCTTATTATTCATAAATTGGGTTTATTCATTTGGAGAGAACGAATAATACTGCCCATGTGATAAGTGCTCACTATGCACCAGGCAGTGCTCTGAACTCTTGGTCTAGAATTACTGAACTGGGTTGAAAGGAATCTATGTCCTTCCAGAATCCAAAATGTGCCCCCACATAGGGTCAGTGCAGATGTAATTAAGGTAAGGACCTAAATGAGATTGCCCTGGATTCGGGTGGGCCCTAAATTCCGCCCCTGGGGTCCTTAGAGGAAGAGAGAAGATGCACACAGGGGAGAAGGCCGTGTGAGGGTGGAGAGGGGCTGGAGGGGGGCAGCCGCAAGCCCTGAACCGCTGGGAGCCACCGGGGAGCGTCAGGTAGAAAGGCAGACATGAGCAGCCGGGGAGGTGAAAATACCGCCCAAACCCTGCCCAGCTAGGGGGTCCCACGTGAAGACAGCGAAGGCTTTGCAGGGAGAGAACTTCCTTGCCAGTGGGGACCAGGTCACACTGGTCCCAACCTGATCCCAACATGGGCGTGCAGTCAGACAAAACTGAGAACTGCCCCAAACACGCCTCATCGTGGGAAAGGATGTGCTGAGGGGGCTGACTGTGCGGGTGGACCTGTCAATCGAGTAACTCCACCTGGTCAGTCAAAGAGGTGTCCCCCAACCAGAATGCAGTATGTGGGCCCCCTGCCTAACAGATCAGGGCCTTGGTCTGCCTCGATGCTGGCCCGCTCCTCCCTTGGAGGGAATTCAAGTAAAACTTGCCCTCTGCTTCGCTGTTGTGTCTCTGCCTTTCAATTCCTTGTTGCAGCGGGGACAAGGACCGAGGAGAACAAACTCACCCGAAACCTTCAGAGGGAGCCCGGCTCTGCCCACACCTACATTTTGGATTTCTGGCCTCTAGGACTGTGAGAAAATAAATATCTGTTGTTTGAAACTACTGGTTTGTAATGATTTGTTATGCAGCCTTAGGAAACTAATATAACCCACTCACTGAATTCTCACACAAAAGCTGTTTAAAAAGCACCCTGGAACCCGGGGTTCTTTCCCGAGGATCTCCCTGGTTTCCTGCAAAGCAGGGCGCATTCTCCTTTCCTCATGCTGCCCTGACGCCTTTGGCCGCCGAGTTCCCCGGGAGCCCCCTCGCTTGTCCTGGGGGAATCTTTCCTGACCCAGGGGTGAAGCGGCCCCAGCTCACCCTCCTGGGCTCCCCCCCACTGCACTGCCTTGAAACTCCAAGAGACCAGCCTATTCTGGAGACTGCCTGGTGTGACGGGGAAATGCCCAGTGGAGAGAGAGCGCTGGGTAAGCAGGCCCGGGCAGTGGGGCGCAGGGACCCAGGCCCTGCTCTGGGTGAGCCTTAGAGGAGCAGCAATGTGCGATTCCCCCTCCTTGTGCCAGTACCTGAACCAGGACACCCAAACGGTCTATTATCACCCAAACTCGCCGAGCCTCTTTAGGAAAGCAGCTTGGATCTGTGAATCTCACACAGGGTTCTCTCCCCAGGAGTGATTCTGCAGGGCCACCAGAAGGCATGAAATGACTGCACCGGGTCAGCTCTTGGGCCCCTCTCTCCCCACCCCGGGGAGGCCCCTGTGGTGATGGGCCTGCAGCTGATCCTGTTTGTGGGCTGCTTGCCGGGCATCGTTGGCACTCAGAGGCAGTGGGGAAGGTGCAAAGGACACGAGAGTCAAAGCTGGTGATGGTGATATAGCCTACAGGCCCATAAAGTGTCCTTTGAGCAAACTGGAGAAAGGCACCACTTCTGCTGGGCAGTCACAGTCCCACTTCGGAACCCTGAACTTGGCTAGGAGAGTGGGGGCTGGATTTCACCCCCCACTACCCCCCACAGCCCAGTGCCAGACACGGTGCACATCCTGCCTAGCCAGCCCCAGTGGTGATGCATGGCCCAAAATTACAGCCCCAAATTATGTGTTGCCTTGACATCTGGCAGTTTGGACCTACCTGTGAGACCCGAATGGTCTACCTTTAAGTTCCACTCCCCACTCTGCGCCCACAGATGAGGTCCTCCAACCACAGACCCCTTCTTACCAGTCAGAGCAGGCTCAGGTCCAGGGGGCACCCCCCACCCCGCCTTGGTACTAGAAAGCCTGCCTCCGTGGTCTGCTTGCTCACCCTGTCCCGAGAGCAGCCCCAAGTGGCCCTGCCTGGCACGCAGTGTCCCCCTTTCTCTGGCTGTGACTATGTGAAACCAATAAATGGCTGCAGCTGTCAGCTGTCCAGATGCTGTGTACTCACCATCCCCACAACCCTGGGGAAGAAATCCCCCTTTCACTAGTGGGGCAAGGAGGACGTGGTCACACGCCCGAGGTCCCCTGAGCTTACCTGATGGGGAATACTCTCTCCATGCACAGCATGAGCAGTCACAGGCCTGGACCTGGAAGGGGCTTAGTTCTGGGTGAGAGATCATTTTCCCAGAACTGCAAAAGAGGAAAGAGAAGTTGTTCCTGAAAAGGGAGTGGGGGTGAGTAGGTTCCCCTACAAAGGAAGGGAGAAGGGGTTCTAGCAGTTTCTCAGGAATTTTGAGCCCCCTGGGCCCCAGAGAGGCTCAGAGAATGGGCCTCACAAGGTCCCTCCAGGGGAGGGCTTCTCTCTTTCTGGGCTGCCACCCTCCTGGTTCATAATAGTGCCCACGGTGGGCCCTGTCTCACTAAACTTGCCAAGTGAATAGAAGTTTAACCTCCTTGAGGGTCTATAGTTAAAGAATTTCCCACTCCTTATCAATCCATTCACAGCTGAGTACCCATTTCTTTTGTCTCCCAGTCCTCATAGCGTTTGGTTATCTCCCTTGGTCTGATTTAGTGCTTATTTAGTCTCGTTTGTGCCCGGAGAGAAGTCATCGTACCAATGTGGACCTGAGGCAGAGAGTATTCTTGGGGGTGCCACACGCATTTGTCCGTGCTCAACGCAGCTGTTACTGGAGAGTCCAAGGTTATGGAGCCCTAACAGTGTTCTCTGCCTGTCAGTTTATTTCTAACTCTTATTATGGCTGCTATCAGATTACAAGTGTCCTAAGGGGACACTGAAATTAAAAGTCAGGGCAAAAGCAATATTTTAAACCATAATCTCATAATTTGCAACTTGGCCTCCGTTTGGGGTGGGTTTTGTTTTTTTTTTAATGGTGGGGTTTATATGCTTCACTACATTATGTCTTTCTAAGCAGAACCCTGGGTATATTGTACAGAAGGCATTAGGATCCCTTTTTAATGTAAATTGTCTGATTTGCTGAATGATATACTATACAAAAGCGATGCAGTATATATAGAGGAATAAGTCAGTGAATTCACAGTCCCACCCTCCCCTGCAGTGCTCACTTAAGTCTTTGTTTTTTTGGCCAAGGGCGACGACTGTTCCCACCTCGCAGTCCCCAGCAGCCCTGCCTGTTCAGGCAGCTGCAGAGGAGGTCGAAGGAGCAGAGCTCCTGCCAGCTGGCTTCTTCCTTTAAGAACGGATGACCCTGGGTGTGTCCCTGAACCTCCCTGAGCCTCAGTCCCCATGGCAGCAGGTGACAGCCATGGTCTGGTTACCCATCACAGAGCCAGCTCTTCAAGGCCGACACCCGCCGAATCACACACAGCGCATCTTCTTGTAGACGTTTTAAAGCCTTTTGTCCACCCAGGCCAGGTGGCTCTGGAGATGGTGAAGTGGAGGGGATGGGTTTCTTGTTGGTGAATTTACCCCAGTCCCAGGTCAATCTTCAGGCTTCCAGGAAACTCAGAAGCCTGATTTGTCTGTACACAGATTGGGTGCACCTGTCCAGGGCAGCCTCCCCCAAGTGGATCCGAGGGTCTAGGACACAAAACTGGAGTCGCCATGCACTCTTCTACGGGGACAGGGAGGGGCCTGGAGTACGAGGACAGCCCCATGCAGCGTCACCGCGGGGCTGGCCCGGGGGTCTGTCAGTCAGGGAGCTGCTGGCAGTGACTCCATCTGCTTCTGCCATGGAGGCGGGTAGCCCTTCAGAGGCAGGGTCGCCTGACAGGCTCTGCTTTCTGTCAAGTGTTTGTCTGTTCTTTGTCTTGAGAGCCAGGTTCATAAATGGGCGATCTTTGGGCAGAATTCAACTCAAGGTTGTACTGTGTTTGGCCCGCACATTTAAAAAATTTAATTAGGTGCCAACATTTAAAAATCAAGAGATTTCAAATAAATATCCATATTTTCAGCTTTCTCAAGGGTTCTCTTAAAAACCCAGAAGTCCATTAAGACTGTGCTCAGATTCCCCATGGCTGGTTCTCTCCTTTGCTTTCTCTCTGCAGGCATCAGGGTGTATGGCCGAGTTTAGCCCCCCACAGGCAATCTTGGGGCTACCTCACCAGAGCACTCAAGAACTCACAGCCACTTTCTAAACACGGCATAATATTAAGAGAACACACATCACAGATCACAGAAACAGACTTTAATTTTTAAGAAAGATCTTATTAATTCCTCAAAAGGCATGTTGTCCTCTCCAATGAACACATAAAATATTGCATATAAAATATTAATTGGAATTCTAGTTTTAAAGAGGCCAGCACAGTTCCTGGCATATAACAAGCCCTCAGCATGTTAAAGCAAATGCTAAAATATGGTGACAAGCATTTGAACATCTGTGGCTTATAAGGGGTTAGAGGGGTGTGGTGATGTGAGCTGAATGCCTGGTGCTTCAAGGACAGGGAGGATTAAAGCTCCTGGGATTTCCCTCTGCCTTCAAAGTTACAGGAATCTCAGCAGGGGAAGGGGACCTGGTGACGAACAGCCAGCCTGTGAGCCTGGAATATCAAACTCAGTGTGTCACTGTGAATCACACTGACTCACGTGTGCTCTGGGTCCCTCTCCGAACCCGCGTTCCTAGCCTGCTGGGAACTCACGCAGGGGCCAGGAGATGCCAGCAGGCATAAATGGGCTTCCAGCAGCCCGTGACCCCACCCTTCCGAGATGCTGGACAGAATGCCATGTCCATGTGCATTTCTCATGGAAATCATCGCTTTCATTAGACTTTCAAAGGTCTCTGACCCAAAGGACCACTCATCTTGAGGACGATTACTAACCTCTGCCAGAGCTCTGCCCAGGGATGGCCCACCAGAAGCCCCTGTCCCATAGCCACACAGAGGAATTGCCATCCGCCAGGTGAGAAAGGAATGCAGTCAGTTTGGGTCGATTTGTCCATCCAAGGACACCGCAGGATGCTCGTGCCACCGATGGCAGCCGAGAGGAAGGCCAAAACCAGGGGCACACGTTCTCTGTGAGTTTTGTAGATCAGGTCATGCTCCCGAGGCTTTCTTCTCCGGTCATGAGCAGCTCCCAGGACCACCCACTTCCACCTCAATGCCTTTTGCATCTTGTCTCTGAGGGAAGTTTCCAAGGGACTCTCTTGTCTGTAAGGAAGATGGCTGAGAGGAAAGCGCTGTCTTGGGTGGTGTGGCAGGCACTGCATGAACTTCAGCAGCGGCTGTAACAAATAATCCCAAACCAGATGGCTTAGAGTAACAGAAACTCATCGTCTTTCAGTCCTGGAAGACACAAGTCTACAATCAAGGTGCCTAGGGCCATGCTTCCTCAGAGACCCACAGGGGAGGGGCCCTCCTTGCCCCCCACCCCCTGCTTCTGGCATCAGCCCTCAGCTTGCAGCTGCACTCCTCCAGTCTGTGCCTCTGTTGTCCCTTGGTCTTATCCTTTGGGGTTCTCCCCAAGTGTCTGTGCCCAAATTCCCCTCTTCTTCTAAGGACATCAGTTATATTGCATTAGGCCCACCCTAATGACTTCCGTTTAACTTGGTCACACCTGTAAAGACCCTCTTTCCAAATAAGGTCACATCCACAGGTCCCAGGAACTAGGACTTGAATGAATCTCTTGGGGTGACACAATTTAACCACAGCTGGCACGTTGCTTCGAAAGCCCTGCCACCTCAGTCCCATGTGTTGCCACTTGCCCACACCCACACCCTCCCCTGGGCTCTGGGGTGGTGGGTGCACACAAATCCTGCTGTGATAACCAAGCACCTTTCCCCAGTACACATTCTGAAATGGGAGTTCTTTCTCCTGCATCTCTGTCCTATAGGCAGCAAGTTCCTTTGAGATTGAGGTGTGTGAGTAGAAAGTGTGCATGTGCACATGAGCATCTGTGGGGTGTATGTGTGGGTGTGTGGGTGTGAAGGGTGGCATAATGGGAGGGGTGGAGGCAGGAAGGGAGAGGACAGAGCCAGGGCAGCAAAGGGAAAGTGACAGGGCCAGAGCAGGTCCTGTCCCTTCACAAGAGGGGTGTGTGCTTATGACAAATATGCAAATATTATGCTTTTGGTCCCAGCCCCATAGGCAGATGTATTAGTTAGGATATTTATTCTGTTAACTTTAACAGAGACCAAAATAACAGTGGCTTAGGGAAGCTTGGAGTCGGTTTCTATTTGTTATGAAGTCTGAGCTGGCAGGTGACCAGGAAGGCAGGGAGACCCTCCTGCAGTTGCCCAGGGGCCCAGGCCGTTGCTGCTCTGCCATCTGTGAGTGCGCGGTAATTCCCCACGGTTTGTGCTCAGACACTGGGAAGGGGGCAAAGGGAAGTGGAGGACACAGCCTTCCCTTTCCAAGGATCTGTCAGAGATCACACTCATCACTCCCAAGTTTACTGGCCAGAGCTTCATCACATGACCTTGCCAGCTGCAAGAAAGTCTGGGAAGTACAGCTCTTATTCTCAGAGGCCATGATCTCAGGGATTCTGCTAAAAATTAACAAGGCGGGGACAGTTCCTGGGCAACAGCTGACTGTCTATTATGGAAGGAACATGATTTGAGAGAAACAGAGCATCCCTCACCCCTTACAATAGCAAAAAACTCCAATCACATTCATACAATAAGGAATATAAGAGGTGTATGATGAGAAAAGTAGCATTTGTCCGATTTTAACCAGCTGGGGGTCATGATGAAGGCTTCATCTCGGGAAGGTGTGAGTTGGGTCGTTCCACGGCCAGCTGGTTCTCAATGACATGACACGCTCTGTAGCTCTCCAGAACCCGGGCCTGGAGGCGCACCTTGTCCTTCTCCTGCCAGGAGTCGGACTCGATATACACGTTGAACGGGTCGTGGGAGTGCTCCAGCTTCTTGGAGCGGATGTAACTCAGCATGATGCCCAGGGTGAAGAAGCCGAAGAAGCCGAGCACCATGAGGATGTAGAGTGCCTCCAGCTTGCTGTCCCCATTTCCAGGGGACCTGTGGGCTGGGCCGGACATGTTGCTGCCCTGCTGAACTGTTCCCTGCCACAGTTTAGCCAGAAGAGAGGTCATGCCTGTGGCGTTAGACAGGATCATCCTGGGTTTCAAGGTTCCACGGCAGGAGAGCCAACTTCCTGTACAAACTTTCTAAAAGAAAAGTGCGACCTGAAATTAAAAAAATACGCCCTGGCCAAATCCACACTGGGACACACCATTTAAAAAAATCTCAGGTGAGAGGGGTGCCCTGACACATGCCTCTGTCCGGGCACGAGCCATCTTGGGCCTGCATGATGCCCTACCTTGAGAATTGATCATTGATTCCCTTTTAATTCCATTTACCATGCCCACTCCTGCCTCCATAGGTGACCACCAGAATGAGTTCCTTTAATATACACATTGTGCTGTATGTGCGCATTTTAGTTTATGGGCCTCAGCCGAATTGGGTCCCTCCCCCTATTCACATATTGGAGCCTTAACCCCAATGTGACTGTACCTGGAAACAGGGCCTCTAGGGGGTAATTAAGATTCAATGAGGTCACAAGGGTAGGGTCCTAAGCAAACAGGGCTGTAGGCTTACGAGAGGGAGAGGTCTTTCTCCGTCTTTGCCCTGGGAGGGCACTGCATGCAGGCCCTCCAGAAGGAGGGCTCTCACCAGGAGCCAGACCCTGCCGGAAGCCTGATCTGGGAGTTCCCAGCCTCCGAAACGGTGAGGAAATGCATTCTTGTCTAAGCTCCCACCCTAGGTCTTTTGTTACGGCTGCCCCATTAGACTGACATGATGTAAGCGGGACTGAGCATCTCCCTCCGTCTGCAGCCTTGTCACTGTGGCTCCATAGCCCCTCAGGGTGTCACAGGCACCTATACTCCTTTCCTTCCAACTGTTGGCACACCTACTGCTTCTCTCTGCCCACTGCCCAGAACCGGATGCCGCTGTGGCCGCTAACTCCATAAACAAACGTGTGCAAACACCCTGTCTTCCTACAGACCTGGAAAAACCATACAGTTTGTACAGCTAGTGCCTGGCACTTCATATGACGCGTGAGGCTGAGGTGCTGTCGGGCACCCTGGTGGTGATGTACAGCAGACAGTCACCCCAGCCCCGGGCCTCATCTCAGAGGAACTGGCCCTCTCCTACGGGATGACTCTGTGCAACCCTCCTGAGCCCCTCTCAGGGGCTTGGGCTGTGCTCCCGCTTGTGTTGTGTTTGTTGCCTCCCTGGCTACTGCCTCCCACTGAATGAATGGCTTGCATGGGCCATGCAGGGAGTGACAGCTGCCCCATCACTTTCCCTGAATACCTGTCTAACGGGCCTGGGAATTGTAAAAGTTACTCCAAGTAGCTCTGGAATTCTGTCAGGGGTCTGTGTGCTCTGAAACCCCACCCAGGTGGCCTTGTGATCACTGATAAGCTAAAACAGGTTTTTTCACTTTTTTGTTTGGAAAAATACATGTAATGGCCTCTACTACCTGCTGGGAGACAAAATCCCCAGGGCCAAGTCGATGAGGCCTCACAACCACCTCAGTGCAGAAGGGGGGCTGCCCAAGGCTGATCAGACTCAAGCGGTCTGAGCCCTCTGGGTGAACGCACCTCCTCCTGTGGGCTCACCCACACAGCTGTGACCCCAGGCACCCTTCTGAGCACCAGAGCTGGGTGTCCGATGCCCTGCCAAGGACACAGGAGCCCCAGCCACCCCCAAGCTCCTCAAGCTCAGTGCCCCGTCCCCTCCTGCTCTGTGCCTCTGTGAGCTGAGCAGCTGTGCTACCCTCACCGAAATCCCATCCGGTCGGTCCCCAGCTCAGAGGCCTCCCTTGGTTCCTCTCCACCTTAGGAGTGAAATGCCCATTTTCAGCATGGCTACTTGCTCAAATGTGGAGCCCATTCTTCCTTTCCCGCTCCACTGCTGCCACTTTGCCCAGACCCTGTGTGCCAGCCCATGGCTGCCTGCCTGGTCCTGAGCACACCATCGCTTCTTTGCAGCCCCTCCTCCTTGGCCCATGAAACTCTGAAATGGTGCCCACTGATGCCTGACAGTTCATCTCAGCTCCCTCCACCTGAGGCCTGCTCTGCTGTGTGAGCGCCACCCACGTCACAGCCTCGAAGGCCGCGGTGCTCACTGCCGACTGCATGGCGATCGGTAATCTGTCCCCGACTCGGTTCCCCACAGCCTCCCCAGGCCGCGGCCTGGCACACAGCAGCACACGCCTGTCCATGAGCTTCTTAACACCTCTTGACAGGAGAGGCCTGGTTCTTCATGACCTGATTAACTAATTAAGAGATGACCTGCTTCCAGAGCTGTAGCTAAGTCCCTCTTCAGAAGGGAGTGTGCTTGGAGGACCAGAATGCACTCAGAGGCTGGAATTCACCTCCACCCCGGCTTTGGATTCTGGCCTTTGCTTCCCAGCCACACGACCCCCGTCAGGTTCCCAGGCCTGCTCAGCTCTGTCTTCCTACCTTCAGAAAAGGGGAGAAACATCACCAACATTTGTGGCTGTCAGATCTCCAACCAGGTATGTAGAGTGGAGGATGAGGCGTGTGGCACGTGGTGGTGAACCCTGGTATCCTGGGTGGGACTGTACTGGGTTTTTCACCTCGTTAAGAACAAGCAGCCCAGGGATTTGGAGGTCTGGCTGTTGCATGGCTGACTGCTGTGGCCCTCTCCTTTACCTGGCGGGAAATCGGTCATGACTGATGAACAAAAATGTGTTTGTGGCTTTCCTGACATCTCTGGGCTTTTGTGTCTGTACCCAGAGATATGTTAGTTATTATGCTCTATGGGTTCAACAGACTTCCAGGTACTATTCTTATAAAAACCCAGCATTTTAACCATGGGTTAAGGCAGGTGTCATTTGGTAATAACTATTTTTTTCTTAAAAAACAACAAACAAAACCTAACATGACAGCCAGCATTTTCTTTTTACAAATAAAACCTAACATGACAGTCAACATTTTCTTCTTAAATGACTTGAAACCACTTAGGAATACATAGAACTCTGCCCCAGAAAACAGACAGGCCTTGAGCTGATAATGTAATTTTTTTCCTAAATCCCAGAGTGACCACAACTGGCAAGTAATCCTGCCACCAATTACTGCTGGAGTCTTCTTATGGCCTTGTGACCATGTGAGACTAGAATCGTGGCACACGATCTCCAAATGCTAATTGGTTTAGAACCAGGAGCTCCACACAGCAAGTTAACTTCAAAGTAACTTTTTTCACATTGGTGAGTTCACTGAGGAGACCTATTACTCAAAACCAGATGGACTTTCTGCGGCCAGGGGAAGCAACCAGACGCAGCTGCTTTGAAAAGCTGCCAGTCCAACTATCCTGAGCCTTGCTGTAAGGCAGTGGTGCTCAGACTTCAGCCTGCTGTAGAGTCACTTGGTAAATGCAGAGTGCTAGGATCCACCCCCAGAGCTTCTGGACCAGAAGGTCTGGGGTTGAGCCTGAGAATCTGAATTTCTAACAAATACCCAGGTGCTGGGATGCTGGTGATCTGGACCCCACTTGGTGAAGTGAAGGTCCTGAGAAGCTTTAAAAGGATACAGATAGCTGGATCCTACCTTCAAAGAACGATGTCCTAGGTCTGCTTTCCTGTGTGGCACTGGGACTTTTCAAAGCTTCCCAGGTCATCCTCATTTGTAGAGGATATAGCCAAGATTGAGAACCACTGGGGTTTGGTTGGGACTTAGGAAATTAGCCCAAATCAGCCTTTTGTGAAGCAGGGTACTCAGAGCAATTTTAAAAGAAGAGAAATAATGATTTCAGAGCATCATTTTCAAATCTCGTTTGTTTTTCAGATTTTCTTGTTTGATCTTCACGTCCCTGATGTAGTCTGAAGAGAAGTTTCAGAAAGAAATCCTCAAACCGTCACTGTAACAGCCTCAGCTGCCCCAGCCCTAACTCGGCCTGCACCTGCATGAATGAGGACGAGCCTGTCAAAGTCGGATGCCCGGCTAGACAAGTCCAGTTCATCAATTGCCTTTTAAACAGCAACTCTGAATTTTTTTCTTACTTTACACCTAATTTGCTGTATTGCTTTTGCTAAACTAAATGCCCCTTGCCCCTAAGGCCTGCAGGCTGGGTCAGGTGGTGTTTTTGTGTAATGAGTCTCCAAATGAGTTTGGCAGTGGCCTCTTAATAGCGTGGGGTGACTGAGCCCCGTCTGCATATCAGCTGGGATTTCTGTCCATTCTCCAAGTTCACATGCACTATAATGCCAAAGCACTGCCTAGAGGCCACCGTTTTAGATGACTGGACTCAAATGGACTTGGGAAGCAGCTTCCAATCTTAACTTACAGAAAACTGGGTTCCATGGAGGTGAGCTGACCTGCTCAAGGTCATGTTTCTTATCAAAAACACATCTAAAATGTAATCTTTGAGCCACAGTCTCACATTTTGTTAATATAAAAGGGAATTCTTAGGATCTTACAGAGAGGACACAGGTTCTGTAATTAGGCTCAAAGTACTGAGGAGCCAGCCACTTGTGTCACGTAAAGCTGGGTCTACCACATGGGGACTGCTTCTGCCCTAAGTGTGCCACCAGAAGATCCCCTCCCCCGCTGGCGAGAGCCAGCGCTTTCTGTAGTTTGCACAGAGAATGGGGGCTGAGAGAGGCGGCAGAAGCAGGAACCAGGGAGGTCCAGCTTCAAATACAACCCGTTCGATTCTCAGCCTGGGCTGAACATTCTCAGACTGGCTTTATCAGGCTCAGAGAGCGGGCTCACTAGAAATTTCTGCTTTTGTCTGAGTTGGAGACTCCTCATGTGGCATAGACATTTGCCCCCAGTCAAGGTTAGTACAATTTTTTTTCTTCAAAGCTTATGTCCAGAGGTGCTGGTTTGCTGGAAACCACTCCAGATACAGGCTCGGGGCAGCTGAGCTGGGCTAAAGGGGCCTCCACCCTGAGGGCTTTTGTAAGGCCCCCAGCGGCACCCAGAAGAGAAGAAGGCAGCGGGTGCTGTCACACTGTCCTGGCTTTACCACCCCACCCCTTCCGCATTTCCCCGGCATGTTCCAGCTACGTCCTATCAGCACTGATAACAAAGACTCTGTAAGCTCCCAGAACTGATTTCCTAGCACCGCGACCCTGCATTCCTTCTTAAACATGTACTGAGCAGGCTAGGCTTCTGTGGCTGACTCTGAGCTTCCTTCTGAGGGGATAGCTTCTGGGGCTGAGCGGGGAAGAGCGGTGTCAGATGCAGAGTCAGCCCAGGCCCAGATAAACCACAGGGCTTCCCTGGGCCTTAGCTCACTCATCAAGGTAGTCTGGGGATAACATTCCTACCAGCCTTAACAGCAATCCTTAAGCATCCCCTTGAAGAGCATCTAGTCTTGACATCATCATCAAGCCTTATTTGTTTCAGGAAGCAGAATTAGGGTAAAAACAATGATGGATAAGCCTATTTTTGGTGAATATGATCTTGAGTCAAGAGTTCTATGAGCCAATATTCCTCAAAAGTAATTGTGCATTATTTTCACCTTTATCACAACACTATGTCCACATTCTGGTGACATGTTTACTTCCTAGCAGAAAAGGGGCCAGTGAGAAGCAGAGTCACTGACATGGCCAGGGGCTCAGGGAACCAGAATGAAATCTGTAGAGGCACCACCTGCACTCGTCCTCACAGACGTGGAAAGGGCTTTCTGCCACCTCCCTGCTGGATGTGGGTGGGGTGCGGCTCTTGCATCTGGTCACAGGATGAGGAGCTTCCTGGACCTCTCTGTGGGTGACAGGGGGTGTCAGGGTGTGAGGGATGGACATGTGAACAAGTGAGCTGGTGAAAGGAACCCAAAGGGGCGAGCATGGCAGCAGGGTTCCCAGACTCCAGAAGGCAGCTGGAGTCACACAGGGGGGCAGATGGAATCTCACCAACAGCAGTTAAGTAAATTCAGGGAGCCTCGGTTTCCTCATCTGAAAACTGGGAATAAATGGAATCTACTCTGACCGTACCACAGGGTTCTGTGAGGCTGGAGCAAGCCCACAGCTTCCCTATCTCCTGCGCTGGCTGCTCTCTGGATGTGTGGCCACCATATTTGCTTGTCAAAATTCTACTAATCCCCAAAAGCCCATTCCTATGGCAGCCTGTGTGTGAACCCCCATCCAGATGTCCCCTCTCCTCTCTGACCCCTCATAATGTCTTGTATGTCACTCACATGCTAATTTATGTTGCAATAATTTGTAGATGTGTCTGGGCATTTCCTTCCAGGGGCTCAGGAAGGTCAGAGGCTGTCTTGCTCATCTCGTCCCCATTCTAGCCCAGAATGACCCAATAAGGGTTTGCTGAGTCAGATGGGAAGGCGAAGTATTAGATTCAATACAACGTGAATGTGAGAGCAAAAATAATTGATGAAGTATAATACACTCCAGGAAGAAATTAGTGGATAACCAAATGAAAACCTTCCAGTGTAGCATGTTTTTATGTACTTAAACTATTTTTTTATTTATTAATTTTATTAGTATTGCTTACTTTGTATATTAAAATCTGTATTATTAATAGTTATTTATGTGTCTGCAATACCCACCTTATTTCTAAAAAGGTTTAAGACAGTAACTCTTAATAGTATAGCATAATTCTTGTCCCTCCTCCCCTAACTCCCAGTAATCCTTATCCTGCTTTCCTTTTCTTTTGCCATATTACTTAAAACCTGCTAATGTAAGCGAGTTTTCTTATTTATTAAGTTCATTGGTTATTTTTTGTCTTCCACACCAAAATGTAAGCTCTTGAGAGCAAAGATCTTTGTATGTGTTTTTCCCCATGTATCTCAAGGACCAGAATGTTGTCTGGCACATGGTCAGAGCACAATAAATATTCATAGGACGCAGGCACGCGTGCATGAATGGATGAATGAGTAAACGCTCCATTCAGATGTTCACCAAGTCGCAGAAAGCCCCGAACCATACAGAAACTGTCCCACCAGCTCTACCTTCGCAGACAAGATGACAAGAGTGAGTCCCTCTGGTATCTTCGCAGGATACTTTATCTTCAAAACAATCCACTTGCTAATAACCTGTCAAAAGCAAGACATACTGGAATATTCTGAAAATTGAGAATGACTTTCTGAGACCTACGCTCACCTCACCTCTGATGAGTAGCAAGAAATAGACCAGAGGACCCAGAAGGTTTTTGTCTCCTCCTTATAAATCCATAGATAGATTGAAGACGCTTTCTGGCAACTCACTCATCACACATGACTTAAACCAACTGTGTGATCACAGCAAAGCTACCCAGCACGGTGACCGTGAATGACAGTTACGGTTACTAACAAGCCCTTCGTTAATGGAGCCAGAGGCTCCTTCTTAACTTAAAGTGGACTCAAAATAAACCATCGGTTCATGTGCAGCAATCTAAACAATGGGGCGAAGGGGGCAATGGGACCCATAATAGATTCCACACATACACAGGCGTGGTTGTTAGTCAACTTCTAAAACGTCTACATCTTCCCCTATTACCAAAATCAAGATCAGATACCAATAATGTTCTCTATGCCCCATGCCTTTACCCCATGGGTGGGAGGCTCTGTGCCAAGGTCCAAGAAACTTCCTGGTCAAAAAATGCCCTTTGAGGCTGGGTGTGCATGCCAGTACTGCCTGGACTGGAGGTCTTTGAAACCAAGTGGGACTGGGATCGTGGGCTTTAGTTTTCTTTGGATGTATTTAGGTATTTTCCAAATTTTCTACAAGAATGTCTGTAATTTAATAATAATGGGGCACTGCCGTTGTTATTTGGTGGGGACATGACTTTCTACGCACGCGGTCTCTAAGTGCAGAAGGGGAGGCGTGCGGCCCAGCGATCTCTGCGGTCTCTGGCTGCGGGGGCCGCCCGCTGCGCGCCGGGGGTGACGCCGGGTCCCTGGAGGCCCCTCGCGGTGGCCTGACCGGCTCACCCGAGCGCGGAGCGAGGGCCGGGGCTCCACTTACCGGTCAAGCGCCGAGAGCCGGGTCCGCGTTCGCCGGCCGAGCGCAGGGCACGACGACGCAGCCCGAGAAGGCGCCCTCCGGGCCCGAGCGCGGCGGGGCGGGCGGGACTCGGGAGCCGCGGGCCCCGCCCCAGGCCCCCAAACCCCTCCCCGGCGTCTCCGCCCGCCCGGGTCCCACGGCCGCTCACGCTGCACGCGAACCGGGCGCTCCGGTAGCGCGGGGAGGCTCGGATCCCACCGGGCCGACGACAGATGTGCCTTCCTGCGGGGAGTCCGGGTAGGCGGGCAAGGAGCCGCCGGGCCGAGAGGAGGGCCGTCCGGGAGACCCCCACCCCGGCCCAGCGCCGGGAGAAGCACCCCGCCAAACAGTAACTTTAAGATGCTTCACCCCCGATCAGACTGCTTTCAGCTGCATCCCACACCCCGGTGACGGCCAGGCATCTGTTCGGGGCAACTTTATTGAGCACCTTTTACGCAGTGCGTGTCCGGCCCTGAGCTGGCGGTGCCGAGAGGTGGGGGTCCCGGCGCGCAGGAAGCGTCGCAAGAGCCACCCACGCCTTGGCCGCGGCTCTCCAAAACCCCTGGGCAGTGGGAACCGCCTTTCCAGCTACGAGGGGGCAAACCGCGCCCTGGCCCAGGTGACCCCCTGTAAAATTTCACAGCGGCTGCCTGCAAGCTTGGAATAAGGTCCAGGCTGGAGGTCTGAAGGCAGGCAGCCGAGGAGGAAGGTTCTGACCCAGTATCCTTCTCTTGGGCCTGGGCCTGGGTATTCTCAAGGGAAGGAGGCAGTTGGAAGCTCTTTAAGTCCACCCGGTGTGACATTCTAGGATTCTTAGCCCACTTGGCAAAGGCAGGATGGCATTCCCCTGCACCATAGGTGACAGTATAAAGCCACACAGTCAGTGTGTAAAGTCTTGAAATGTCCATAGCCTTGATGTGTAATTGTACTGTGTGCCATCTATTCCATGGAGGGGATCAGAACGGTAGAAAAGCTTTATGGATAGAAAGGTTCTTTGTTGTTTTGCTTATAAGAACTAGAATATAGATGTCTTAAAATAGAAAAATGGTTAAATTATGGTACATAGGATAGAATATGATTCAACATAGTGGGATATGCAGTCATTGAGATAATGTTTACAAAGAATTTGTAACAATATAGGGAACCCTTATATTATAATGTTAAATGAAAAATCCAAGTCCTCAAACTGTACACAGATGCCATGCTTTATTTCACAAGACTATAAAGAAACACACCACAGTATTAATATTGTCTAGGAGGGGTGGGTTTCCATAGGATGTATTTTCTTATTTCTACTATTCTATGTTTTCCTTTTCCTTAAAAAAAAAATTCTTTACTATTTAGGAAAAAAATACAAAAACTTCATCTGAAAATCCCCTGGCTTCTCTCTTCTCAAGGTCATGCTCTCTGTATGTAGTGTCTTTTTGCCCATGTTCCCACAAGGAAAAATGGATAAAGGCTTGAAGCCAAAATGTTGTTTCTATCCAATTTATGTGAGCCATGTTGGTGACCACTCACAGGGCAGTAAGCCTGCGTGGAGCTTGCTCTCACCCAATCCCCGTGGAATCAGGCCTGCCCACCTGTCAGCCAATTATTGTGAAGATGGCGCATGTTTTCAAAAAGGTGAAATGTCAGTGGTGGTCTTATTTCTCTCCCTGGTTCACTCCATCCCACATATGATGAATTATTTTATGATGTGGATACTGGCTTTGCCATTTCCTATTCGTAATGATAAGACACCATGAGAGTGTTTTGTTGATTGAAATGTTTCTTTTTTTCTTTTTCTCTTTGTCCTCTTCTTTTATTCTCACCTTTCTCATCATATAGTTGTAACAGATTTTACAAATTATAACAAAAATGGAGCCACAGTTCACAAAGCTCCGGGGTCATTTCTCTCCTTTCCCTGGCTCTTCCACCTTCTCCACTGGGCTCTTCTCTGGGAACTGGGTTTTGGGAAGAGAGGTGGCCCCCGCCCCTGCTCCTCCCAGTGGGTTTATTTTCCCCTTCTGTGAGGTCCCGCCTCAATGCAGAGCTCCAATCCAAAGCTAGAGTTCCAGCCACGTCTCATTCTTTCTCCAGAAAAATCTCATATCTCAGCTTGCTACTTCGATATCCTCCTTATGTTCCTAATCTTGCTTACATGCTACTGGAGGAAGAACGCCTCCTTCACCAGAACGGACTGACCTTCAGTGTAAGCCACCCAGAATGCTCGTACACAGTCCTGGATCATGTAGGCAGTTTTTTGGTGTTCCCTTTGGCTGCCATCCAGATGCCCCTTCACTGGCCTGGAGCCATTCCATAGAGGCTTTTTGACCTCTACTCTTATGACTTCATGTCCCACGGGCAACCCTCATTTCTCACTGAGAAACACCTGTAAGACAAACACCTTTTCTTTAACAGCAGCAGAGCGTGACCTGGGTGCAGTAGGATGCTGAAGCTACAATGCTTCCTTCCCACGAGAAGGACAAAGAGGAGGAAGGACACAGAATTCTCCATCCTGCCCTGCTGGTAACAGGTGAGGAGCAGCAGAATGGTGGCAGAGAGCCCCACCCTGCCATCTGGGCGCTGACCCCCAGCACTGCCCACAGATACATCAGCGTTGCATACAGATGGCTTGACATGTGCCTCCTCTGATGGCCATTTGGTGCTCTCATGTCTTCTGTCCCCCTTCCTTGGTCAACATCTCTCCACCTGATTTACCTGGTCACAGGTGAATTCCTGCCTAAGTTTCCACCTAGGACTCCTCTTTGCTGGAGAGTCCTGCACACACAGGAGGTGTCTTCCCCAAAGTTGAAGTCTCCTGGCATCATCCTGAAATGACCAAGGGAATTGCTTTTGGTCCAAAAAAGAAACCATCCACAACTGGCTCAGGGCCCTGCCGGGCAGTCCAGGTCCACGACCTCATCTCCCACTGCAGTGGTTTAGTTTTGAATTCATTTTAAGATTAAAAAATTGAGAGCTTTTATACCAACCATAGAGATTTCTGGCTTCTCTTGCAACACTCAAGGAATCTAGGAACTTTATGTCCACCTTTGGCAGAGCAGCAAATGGCAGGAGCTGATGGCATCAGCCCCTTTCCGCAAGAATGCAAACTAGGCAGTTTGCTCCTTCTGGACAAGGACACTTAGCAGGTCCCACCCGCCAAACGCCCTGCCTGGTTCTGTAGAGACTGAGTTTGCCCCTTCTGTTCTAGATCCTTCCCTTCCAGGACAAACTTTCTGCAGAACCCTCATCTGGCTGTTCCTTTGCTTTGCACACTGGGAACTCGTTTCCTCATTGACTTGTTTGGTCCTTGCTGATCTTTACCTGACAAGTGCTTTTTGAAGGTGCGTCAGTCAGATGTGTATCTTCTGTTGTCCTTTTATTGCATTAGTTCTTAAGTTTCAGGATTCTTCCTGGGAATATAAGAAAAGCTGTGGCTCCTCCTACCCCTCCAAGTGCACACATGGACAATACTTTACCTACAGTTCAGGGGACTTAGGGATCCCTGATGTGTAGGTGATTTGTAGCTGTCATGTTGGAACTGTTAATTAGGGCAGAGACTACCTTCTCTTTCTTTTTTTATTGAAGTATAGGTGACAGGCAATATTATATTGGTTTCAGGCATTCAACATACTGATTGGATAATTATATACATTATAAAATGCTCACCATGGTAACTGTCGTTACCATCTGTCACCATGCTAAGTTATTACAATGTGATTGACTATATTTGCTATGATGTACTTTTCATCCCCATAACTTATTTATTTTGCAACTGGAAGTTTGTGCTTCTTTACCCCCTTCCCCTATTTGCCCATCCTCCACCCCCAAAGACTGTCTTTTTCATAAAACAAATTCTTTACATGTTTTTATGGATTTATGGGTCTTTACAGTGTTGTATGCTCAACAAATGCTACTGAGTGTTGCCTGACTGGTGGGCAGCAAGACTGTCCATTAAAATAGTCACCTAAGCTGCTTCTGCCTAGGTGTTGGGGGCCTCTACACCAATTCTTGGCACACTCGGGTCACCCAAGGAAGATGACATAGTCAGCTATGGACCCGCCAATTCAAGCAACCCACCTGCCCTTTCATTTGACATTTGCCCATTCATTCCACAACCTTCACCTTGCTATGAAAAGAACACAAAACCAATTAAGGAAGCTTTTCCAAAAAAAATAACAGTGTTGACTTTTTTCTCACCACCTGCCACCCCTCTCCACCCCCCTTTTGTCCCCGAATAATGCTATACTGATAGGAACATGGATAAATAAATTACAGTCTGGAATGTTATTCATGGCTAGGAAAGAACACTAAGTCTACACATAGAATATTTGACATTTGAATACAAACGTTGCCCTATGTTTTATGTTTTTGTTTTTAAAACCCAGTCTAGTTTAGCAGACATATGTATAATCCCTTTAAATGCTGAGGATTTAAAATTGCAGAGGTAACAATATGTTGGGTGTTTTCATCAGCCAAAGGACAAGGTAATGCAGGAATGAGATTAGCATCTCTCCAGCTCCTTGTGTGTCTGATATTATTTTGGTGTACCTCCAGTTCTTGGTAACACAGCAGCTCTGCTGTAACCCAAGTCCCTGGAATGGAAGAACATTAGCAAGCCTGAATTTGAAACCAGTGCAGATAGCTTTTCTGGGAATGTGCACTAAGGTCAGTGTTTAGAGATGGGACTGTTGACAGCCATTGTCGTGATTTTGGGCTTATTTCAAGCAGGACGGGTGGCCTGGGCATCTGGATGGATGTCAGTTGCTGCAGGTTCCCACAGGGATTGAAGGAATAAATGAAGAAATCAGAGGTGGTGTTTGGCATGACTCAAAGGAGGATGAGAGAAAATAGATTGAACGGAAATCTTTAGACAAGGAAATTCCAAAACACCTTTCAGTGTAAAACTTGTAAACAGTGAAAAGATTTTGATGACAACCTTAATCTTCAAACTGAATCCTTACTCTAAATAATAGCTAAGTCTGAACTCAGACCACTGCTCTTAAAAGTTTTCTCACAAATTAATCTCCTCTGATGACTAGTAAGTTTTATTCAGTATTTACTGATATTCTACATGCGCAGGCTATAGGGTACCC